ACTAATATGGAGAACATTTTGAGCACATTTTTGATGTGGATTTTTTTATGGGTATGATTTATATTTCAGCTTCAACGATTTCACACCCACAAACAAAGAAAAATACTACAGCAACACAACATATCTTCACTTATGAATCGAATATGCAGTTATGCACCAACACCGAACTTGAGTGTCATAGTAAATAAAAAATGATTAGAATGTAAATATGGTGGATGGACATTGGACAAGCATTGTTTGAAGAATTTTTTTCCCGATAAGTTGGTGTTAGTGTAACTTTTTAAACCAAGTTTCATTCCATTCAGTAATAGATTTTTATGCTGAACGAGCGCATGGCGATGAAGGCGAGAAACTTGGACACGTGTGATTGGAACGGATATTTTAAGAATGATAATGGTTAATGCCAATCGGTACATAATTAGTTCCTCATATTTTGTAGTGGAAAAAAACCCCATTGTCATCAGACTTAAACAAACAAACAAATAAAAACAAAGACATTCAATGCAAATCCCTTTCGAATGACCCCTTTAACGTTCCACTGAAGCAGAACACATTCGATAGCGGATTGATGTCTGACTTAAGCTTTTTAATGACTGTCTTAATTTTTTAGTTTTATTAAAATGTGTTCTGTTTTTTCTAGTAAAATAAAGATAATACGCAATGAAAATGTGCACAACGAATATTTAAACAAACTAAATTTTTTCTATTGATTTCCAATAATGTTTGATCATGACCTTACCCTTTTTTCCTGTTTTTAAGACAAATATATGATTCATTTCAATAATGGCAAAGATAGAGAAACCATACACACTCACAATACATTCATACACAAACCAAATAATATTAGCGTTTTAATCCAGGCATATCTTAATGAGAAAAACAAAAACAAACCAAATCCGTAAGTCTAGCGCAATAATCATTCATACATGTGAATAATTCCTTGTATGCCACCATCATTTTAACCGATTGTACTATTTCAATACCAAGGCATTTATCAATAAACCAATAAAGTTAATAATATGAATTATACAGAGGCGTGTTTTATTTCGATGTTGAGTTTTTCGTTGGAAAAATCTTTGGAGGGATGAATTTAACAGAAATTCAGTTAGAATTCATCGAAAAAGACAACAATACGCATGAAGAAAATGAAGTATGTAAATGGAACATTTTACGTGTCCCAATTTTGTATGAACAAAAAACTCTGGTTTGTTTTGGCTTTGAATCACTTGGCGTCAAATAGCATGGATTCACGAATGTTTGGCTGGAAATTCGATACGCATATACAATACGCACTAAAGAATGTCGCACACATATTTTCATGTGTCAATCAGGTAACAGTTTTTGCTTCTCGAGTATATACTACACATATGAATATAGTTCAACAAAAAACGTTTTCCGTCGATTTCGCACTGGAAAAGTGTTTGTTTGTCAAACATTAGAAATGTTATTTCCGCGTATTTTGCGAATTCTTTGATGTTTTTCAGGTACATTATCACAATAAAAGATTACACAACTATCACATTTTAAATACGTAATTGTTTTCATAAAATCGGCAATAAATAGTGCCAGTTTTTGAAATGGCAAATCAGTATTCATCGACCAATCGCTTAACACACTTAGGAAGTAATTGAAACGTTTGAAAATGGCGCGCATTCTGCTATTCATGGTGAGTGACTTTCATTTTTTTCCAGTCTGATTTTTTGTTCGACATTTTGATTTTTTTTAAGTTGGAACACAACTTGAATTCCATAAATAATATCTTTTCTTTTTCCACCCTTTTTCTAGATTGCATTGCACTTCTTTGCTAGAGTGATGGCTTTCCCTTCAAATATGGAGAATAGTCAGAGTGCTGATGAAGATAACTCGAATCTGATTGCGAAGTACGATGACGAGAATAATCGTTACATCATAAATGAGCTGCGAGAGGATATTAGCAACGACCTCGGTATCAACAAAGCAACAACTACGACTGAGGCGCCACAAGTTTTGGACCAACAACCCGAAGAAGAAAAAGAAGGAAAATCCAAATCGACCGAAACGGAACAAATGATTGGCGCTATGCTGGCACTTCCAATTCTACAAATGACTCAAATGATGCTTCAAGATATGACAAACGATCCAAAAAAATCAAGCTGTGGCGCCGCATCGTTTCGTATTAACGTTCCTGCATCAAGCTATCCTCCAGGTTATCCTCCCTATTTGAGCAGCAGCAACTTCAAACCAAGCTGCGGTGGCTGCATGCAAAGCAGTTGCAGTAGCTGCACGCGAACTGCGCCGGTTCCAGCTTATGTGCCGGTTATGCCACCTTCAATTATGTATCGTGCAATGATGTCAGCTCCACCCTCTTCTCACCGTACTTACTTATCAATGTATCCACCGGCATTTCCACCACCACCACCATTTTCATCACGCTACTTGCCACCTCCATATCCATCATACTTGGGTCCATTCGTATCTCGAACACCACTGCCAGCACTGCCATCAATGGATAAATCACCCTCTGCGTAGATGCGTCCACCTCTGGCTATGTTTCGTTCAGGGTTTTGGAAAATGTGATTAAAATCCAAAATCATTGATTTTGTTTTGCCATGCAAGTGCAAGTGCATTCATAAAATCTGTTATGTGTTGTAATTCATTATGTGTTTGAATAAAAAATGAATTTTTTGTTTGTTGAAAAGACTCTCAATCTTTTTTATCACTTGGTTCAAGAATCAAGGTTTTATCAGCCCTCATCGATTAGTTTTATTGCGTCAATTCTCGAATTTGAATGCTTTCTTTCGATAGAATTAGTAAGTAATCGCTTGGCTTGTACCCGAAAAAAACGATATTCTCTTTGTCACGCATTTAAATTGTTCAATGTTTATGCAAACTCACTTGTAAATTCGACCCGTTATGAGTTGTCACAAATCATAACAAAAAATGCCTGCTCAGCTTAATTCAATATTGCAATTGTTTTTGCAATAAAATGCACATAAATAGCGCGAATGTTCGAAGGTATCAATCAGTTTTCATTTAGCCGTTGCTGTTTAACGCCACTGACAATAAACAAGAGCTCTTTCACACATATTGAATAGGACGAACGACACTATCAACTATGACGCGCTTCTTGTGTTTATTTGTTTTGGTTCGTATCCGATCACCTTCTATTTGGTTCTTTTCTATTGATTTTGATGAAAAGAATCTTAAAAATTGCATCTTTCGTCTGATCCATTGCCAATCTTTGTTTTTTCTTTCATACAGATGTCTTTGTGTGTTTTCACTGAAGCATCAGGCGGCCATCAAATTGAGGAGGTTACAAATGTACTTCTTGACTCGAGCATTGCTTTGTTTGACGGTGCATCAAAAATTACTACCAACTTGCTTCAAGAATGCGATGAATATAAGCAATCGAACGGAATGAACCTGCCAAAGACCGACGCAACTAATGAACAAGCGACTCTCAATGAAGAAATAGAAAAAATGTGCAAATCCTATGTAAACCTCCACAATATCGCCACCGAACACCTCGAAAAGCTCAAGCTGCTGAAGCAGAAATTTGTATCCAATGAATCGAACATCTATAAGTCTTGTGCGTTAGAATAATTGTGACCAAGAAAAAGTGTACGGAAAATGTAATTCAAACAGTTTTGTGAGAAAAAAAGTTTATTTGGTAATAAAATGTGCATTTTAAATGTGTTTTGATGTTCGCAAAAAAAATCTTTTTCTCTTAGTGAAAATCTACTTAGAATTTTACTTCCAAAAACATGCCTATAAAACAAATCTAAATATCTGTTGCAGTTGAAAGAATGTTTCTCTTTTCCAGCAAAAGCTTTTCACTTGATTTACGAATTCAAAAAGGTTTGTTTGTCTTTAGGGGGTATATGAATCTCTCAAATTGATTCTTTCGTTTTCATTCTTCTGTGTTCGTATTTGGCTTGTGTGTGGTATCAGTTTTTCTTCGAATAAATCGTCATTTGTTTTCAATTCTGAAAAATCGATTTCAATATATCATTTCTTCATCTTGTTTTGGGATTATCCTCAGCCATTCATCGCATGAATTCTTGAAGTAGCATACTTTCTTCGAAACGAGTTTGTAAGTAACTGCTAAATTGTCACCGAAAAGAAATATTTTTTCACGTGTCATGCATTTTAATTGTTCAACGTTCAATGGACTTTGTCCATGTCAACACACTTGTAACTTAGACACGTTCCGAACTCATATATCGTATTTCAAAACAGAAAATGCATGCGCAGCTCAATGCGATATTGAAATTGCGATCAATTCGAATCGCCAATAGTTAAAGGTGGCAATCAGTTTTCATTGAGCCGTTGCTGTTTCCGATACTGTCTTACGCCACTGCCGACTAAATAAAAGTCATTTCATACATCTTGAGTAGTATATGCGATAGCCACCAATGGCCATGCTGCGATTCCTGTTTTTATTGTTTTTTGTCTATATCCCATTATTTGGAATTCCCTTCTCATTCGTTTCGATTGATTTTGATTAGAAGAAACTGAGAAACTGTTTTTGATTTTTTGTTTTTTTTTTTTTTCATTGTGAAGGTTTTTTTGTATATCTACGCTGGAGCGACGGACGCTTATATGTTAGAGGAGTTCGCAAACAAGAGTCTTGACACGATCATTTCATCGTTTGAAAGTAATTCAGACTTCTACAAAGTAGAAGAAATGGAAAAGTGTGTACATTTTACGAAGACCATCAAAAATCTAGAACGGAATATTTGGAGAAGCTGAAACAGCTGAAGCAGAAACATTTTGACCATGTCCATACACAATAAATCTTGTGTGTTAGGATAACGGTGCCTGAATAAAATGTGAATCAAGAATCTAGGAATTGTGTAAAAAACAAGTATTACGTAATAAAATTCGTTTGCAATGTAAGTTCATTGAACATTGTTCGCAAAAAGGTGTTCGTTTTATTCTGTCAAAGTTGTCTTTCTTCTCATGATAAAAGGTTTGGCTATTTGAACGTTACGCAGTCTGAAATATCTTCCCTTTTTGCGATGGTTTTTCATATTGAGATAAAATACTTGCTATTCACGATTTCAATAATGTTGTCTTACTTAAACATCATTGGTAAGCTCTTAGTTTTATTATGATACCTTCAAATCATGAGCATTGCACTAATCTTCTACTGCTAAGTCACATTTTTCTAAGAACAAAAAAATGCATGTTGTTTCGTAAGTAGCTCTTAAGCTCAGTTTTTTTCTTTCTTGTTCGTCCAAAATTTCTATATGACTTCATGTTTCAACTTGAAATATTCTTTCCTATTTATTTCTGCTTCAATTATGAACGTATACATTTAATCCGTCTAAGAAAAGAAAAAAACCGTATTTCAACGGTCACAATTGATATCAGCAACTAAATTATGATGACACATTTTCAAGCAAAAGTTGTTTTCTGTTTCCAATTGAAGTCAAATGCTGAGTTCGCCGAAACATAAACTGTTGTATTTGCATGATTCTGCTTGTTTTTGGTTCTTTTTTCAATGAATTATGCCGAATCAGCCGCGGAAAAGAACTGCAAAAAATGTGCATTGGCCAACAGTAGCAAATGTTTGGCCATTTTTCATTTTCTCCCCATTCAGCACATTTTTTCTCTCGAGTTCATCAGTCGATCAGAATAAGAATAAATAGTGGATATTCTGGATGTGAACATTCAATTCGCATCGGCACACCGTTTGCGTTCAAAAGATAAGAACGAAACATTTTCATCATGGCAATCTGCGTCATTATTGGAGCGGTAATTAGTGGGTAAATTTGTCTTCAAAATTTTTTATCTTTTCAACATTTCTGTTTCTTTTCGCGTAGGTTTTATTATTGGCTTTTTCATCTGAGGCAACACCACTTTCAAAAACAAATAGCGCCAGCGGTCGTCTTTCGTCGTCCTTTCGTGAAGAGAACACAATTGTTGAACAAACTCAAATGCGGAGCAAAGAAGTTGTTGCCCCAGATCCCGAAATTGGTACTACGACGAGCCTATTCTCCGCCACCAAGACACAATCTTTAGCTGAAGTTAGAATTGAACAATCTTCGAGCACCAACACAGAAACAAAGACAATCGAATCCAACGTCATCAACGAAACTACGGCTAACTATCACGACAATGAAGAAACCCAAATCGACGCTACAAGTAAACCCATCATCACAACAGAACGAAATTCCTTATTCTCAGTAGCCAGCATATTTAGATTACTCGCGAAAGCATTGAGAGCAGCACCTTTCTTTGGATAGAAAAATGCATTGCAAAATTCTAACTTTGTTATTTCGTTCTAAAGTGTAATTGTTTTTGTTAGTTTTTTGTAATCAATAAAGGAACGAGTTTGATTCGTTTGTGTTTAAAAAAAATGTTGAATGGTAAAATACGTCTTTTTCTTCGAATCAATCTACTTTTCTTTTCTTTTTTCTTAGCTTTTTCATAGCTGTTGACTTTGCTTTAGTCAGTTCGCTTATTATTATCGAATCAACTACATTCGCTTGAAAAGAACTACATTTGAAGTCTGGCAAACAGGCTCATTCTCATGATTGAAGAAAAACTCCCCATTCTATCTTGTATTCATCACTATCGATGTTCCGTAAGTATTTATCAATGATTCATTCAGTTCTTGTTATACCAACCAAAGCTTAAAGCATGGTTTAAACCACGATGTAGGTTTTCTGCTTTGAAAATGCTGAGCTAAAATTAGTTAGCAACAACAAAGAACTAAGTAACTCCAACAGGTTAAAAAAAAGTGCAAAAATTGCACAATTCGAACGTTTAGCTGAACGACTCCACCAAAAACTTGAGTTATCATATATCAAGTATTTGAATTGGTTTTGTCGACTGATTGCAATGCATGCATGAATTGGTCAAAATATTTGTGAATGACTTCATTTGCCGAACGCTTAGAATTGGGCTCAATGTTACCGCATTCGGACGCAACATGCAAAACAGTTGATATCTTGAATGGAAAAAACGTGTCAACATTTCACTCGCTTCTAACCAAAACATAACACGGAAGATACAATGGACATATTTTCATTTCCGACTCATAATCGTAAACATCTGATGTCGCAACAAAGTGTGTTGGCATTGAATGAATCAGCTGACTCTACGCTTCACTGCGGTATGATATTCATTGCTGCCTCCTGATTCCATATCATTCACAATTGAGCAGTCGAGCAGATTACTTCAGAAGAAAATTTGTGATCCGAATTGTTCATCATGGCACAATTGCCGTTAAGTGTTAAGATTGTGGTGCTGGTGGTTCGTTTCTTTAAATTCATTTTCATTTAATTGAAATATATTCCAAGTGATTTGTTTCTAATTTCTTTGAAATTCAATTTTTTCGAAGCTCCTTTTTTCATCGTCGAATGCATCACCAATTAAGCCTTTGTCTCCACCACAAGAAGATTTGTCTATTGGAAAAGCGAAATTGGAAAAAACTTCAGTCGATAGTGCCAAAGTGTTGCCTGTTAACAATGGTGATTTTTTCTTTCAAAAAGTGTCTTTTTTCATTTGAATTAAAATAAGAATTTTTCTGAAATTTTATCGTAAAAACGCCACTTTCACCGTTTTCTTTTTAGTTATCACCGACGCGAATAAATTGAAAGATAAAAAACTGTTTGGTTTAGATGAATCGCCGCTCGTGAAATTGAAGGGCTACAAATTAATTTCAAAGGATGGCGGCAAATCGAATATCATGAAAATTCTGTTCCCAAAGAAGCAACTCACTGAAAAGCTGTCAAGTAATGTGAATAAAGCGGAGAAAACAATCGACGAACAAATCATATCGACCATTCAAAATACTGATGCTAAAGATTTCGATAAGAATTTTGTTGAAGTTGATGATATTTTGCTGGTACGCGATCCAATGGACATTAATTTGGGCGCAAATAATGATGTTAGCGAAAACGATTACGTGACAACAGAGAGTAGCGATTCAAGTTACATGGATACAACCGAAAAGGCACTGAAAGATATGACTTTGGCCGAACGATTGAAAATTGCCGCAAAACGTCGCATGCAACAGAAAATGACGAAATTAGAACTGACGCTACATCGTGAGTTGTTCAAACGTGAAGATGTGCCAAGTGATAAATCAAAAACCAACGATGAGTCCACCGATAAAGTAGAATCAACGACCGAACAAGTGCTAGAAACAGTTGTTGAAAAACAAGACGAAGTCAGAGTAGCCAGTGAAACTGAAGCGCCGAAATTATCAGCGGATAATGGTGAACTCATATCGGCCACATTGGGAATAAGAAAAGAAGACAGTGAAGCAGTTACGGAAAGCGTTGCGGTTGAAAACCCACAAAAAAGCCAATCAACAAGTAAGACGCCACAGAGATCAGTGCCAAACGAAGGTAAATTGCGAAAAAAAGGATTTTCATTAAATAATGTGTGTTCTGTTTTCGTTGGTTCAAATATGAAGGTGAAACTGTGTCAGCTACGTTTGATGCAGAAAAAGAAGATGCTCGAAAAGAGGGTGCGGCAACTGAAATTGAGACTGATTCTTCGAAGCAAGACCAAGTAGGCAGTGCACTCGACAATGCAGATATTGAAGATGCTGTTGTCGGAGCTGCCGTTCCAACAGCAACTGAACCTGCAATCGAAACGGTACAAGAAGTTTCTACGGAAAAACTTAAGCCACTTGATCCAGAGCAAGCCTTACAAGCAACCGTTGAGGACACTGATGGTAAGTCAGCGAATGAAGAAGAAGCAGTGCTTGGATCTCCATTAGAATTGCCAAATGAAGACGTTCAACCAGCGACCACCGAAAGTTTGAAGGAATCAACCATTGACAAACCAGACGAGAGTCAAGTGAAAAGTGAAACTGATGCATCAAAACCAGTGGAGAATGAAGGTGATATTACGAATAGTTTTGTGTGTTTATTGTGTATTTGGACTAATTTTTTTCTAATTTCATTGTGTTTCGAAGGTGAAACCGTTTCTGCTGTATTGGTGCCTAAACAAGAGGACGTACACTCTGCGACGGAAAGAGTAAGGGAGACTGTTGCTGGAAGTCAATCGACGAGCGATGCACCACAGGAAGTTGATGTTAAACCAGAGAATGCAGATGTTGTGCAGGCAACCAGTGACGTTGAAGGTGATATGCTTGGATCATCGTTACAAGTTCCAGGGGCTAATAGCGAATCGACAGCGACTGAACCAACGAAAGATGCTGAAAATGTAAGAGCAGGAGTGGTCGATAGCAAAGATGGAAATCAACCTGCAGAGCTTTCGAAACCAGAGAATAATGATGGTAACAATAGAACAATTTAAATTTTTCGCAGCGAAGTAATAATTGTTTTTCTTATATATATTTTCAGGTGAAGTAGTGTCTGCTATATTGGAGCCGACAAAGGATGACGTTCAACCATCAACCGAGAGTGCACAAGAATCCGTCGCAGAAAAAACGGATGAAATCCCTTCGACCGACAGTGTGAAGGATGACACCAAGCAAGAGGAAGCACAAAAAATCGATGGGTCTGAAACTACGAAATCGGAAAATACAGATGTAACCGTTGGTGCAGCACAGCCTTCGAATTCGGATACTCTAAAGGTTTCGACGGGAACTGCAAAACCGATTGACCCAGTGAAAGAAGAAGAAGTTTCGCAAGCACCAAGTGAACCGACAGATAATAAGACTGAAACTAAGGCAGAGGAACCAACAGTCGGTGCTTCGAGTCGTTCCAGCTCATCGTCTTCATCGAACAGCAGTTCGCGAAACAGCAATCAAAGCTCATCAAGCGAAACCGACGAAAACAACGAATCGGAGAACTCAAACTCACGATCTAATCAGAATAGATCGTCTTCTTCCTCCTCGTCTTCTTCGCAAAGAGACCGACCAGATGTTCTTGATAGCGACACTAATGCATCGAATTCCCGTAGCTCATCGTCTTCTTCGTCGAGTCGTTCCAATTCATCTTCGAATAACAGACAACAAAACAGCAATTCGGGAAGGAGCAGTTCACGAAGCAGCAGTCAGAGCTCATCGACATCGGAAAATGCACGCAACGATAGTGAACCATGTGATGATCAAAACGAGGCCGTAGAAAACAACGAATCAGAAAACTCGAACTCACGATCGAGTACCAGTGGAAATAGATCATCCTCCTCTTCTTCGCAAAGAGACCGACCAAACGTTCTTGATAGCGACACTGACGCATCAAGATCCAATTTCCGAAGTTCCAATTCTCAAAATCAATCGTCTTCTAGTGGGAACAGATCGTCATCCTCTTCGTCTTCACGTAGTGGAAGTTCTGCATCATCAAACAGCAATTCAAACAATAACTCGAATAACGATTCAGCGAATAGCCGCAGTTCATCGAGATCATCTTCATCTTCATCCAATTCGAGAATTGATGAACTTCTCGCTAAAGTGCTTGCCAACCAAGATACTCGCCATCCCTTGCTTAGGCGAATTCTTTTGGGCGCAAGCGAAAGAGCAGCCGAAAGTGTTCGCCAACGTGATGGCGGGCGTCAGTCACCACAATTACAATTACCTCAGTTGCCGTTGTTCAAGCCAGGTCTATTTGCAACGCCATTGATTTCATTGTTCCAATCGCAGGCTCCGTTGCGCCGCAAGAAGCATGTAATCAGAAAGCGTCAAGTAAATGAAGGAGAGGAAGAAATCCTGACACCAAAACCGTTTGAACCATTTGAACCGCCATGTACGACCAAACGACCCCGTTTAATCGAACGCTATCGGGCCATGAGCAGCGGCGAGAAAGCGGAAAAAATTAGTAAAGTACTCGAAAAAATGATGCACGTAGTTACGATTGCTGGACATGTCGATGGATACCTAACCAATCGTGCAAAACATAGTATCAAAAAATTACACAAACTTTTCGCCACCAGCGAAGAAACCAATTAATTGGTACAATTAAATGTTATTTGTTATTTTATTTATTTATTCTAATTTAATATTTATTTTGTTGTGTTTGTTTTGGAAACAATAAAATTCTCATTGAAAAAAAACGATAAATTTATTCGTTGTTTGAATTTTTACTCAAATTGACAATTGACTCATTTCCAACAAGCGTTCAGTTATTTCTCACTCAAATGACGTTTATGAAAACTGTCAACATCATCAAACTTCAACATTGGTAAAAACAAGACGTGAATCGTGTTATTTTTGGTTTTGTAGTCAAATATCGTCTTTAAATTGAAATAAACACCTTTAATTTGCTGGGAAAATAGTTGAAACCGAAAATGTTCAGAAGAAAGACGAAATTGGATGGTGATTTGCCGCAACCACCGACAAAGGCTGAAATATTGGAGGATTTGGAAACATTCAGTCTGGACCATGTCAACCGAACACAACGAAACGAGAGTGCACTTTCGACTTCTGATTTGTCGTTGAATGCGATGGATTCATCGAAGACAATGAAACGAGGCCGTAATGAGCCGGAGAGTGAGCATCAATTGGAAGAATGGTGGGATAAATTCGAAAAATTCCTCAGTGACATCGACCAATTGGAAGTGTACCAAAAGCAGTTCGGATCGAAGAAGATGAGTCTGGCCAAATTGGACGAAACCATTGGTTTGATGGCTGACGACATTCAAACAAGAATTAACGACAGTCTCGGAAAAGCAATGGCTCAAGTACCCGAAACGGAACCGGATCTGAAATGAATTACCATCTTAGGAAGTTCTTCTTTTTCATGTTTAAGAATTGAATAGCGTTTTATTCGAAAATTTTCGAAATCTTGTATACAATGTTCATTATTAAAGAAATAAAATGTGTTTTTTTTATCAAACAAATGAAATTGCACTTAAGCTTAAAATAACAGAATTTTTCATGTATAAAAGAAAAAAAATTGTTATGAAAATATCACACAAAGTAAAGAATAACCAGTGGTGAAAGACTAGAAATGAAATCGTCGTCGCGGTCTTTTCATTTGAAAGCATAGTTAAAACCTTAGGTCTATTGCATGTTTTATAACTTGTGATAAATTAAAAGGAAAACAACTTAATAGCGAAACAAAAATAAATGATAAATACAATTCTCTGTTGTACAATTGAACAATATGTTGGAATGCACTAAATAAGCAAATCGTACGCCTATCTTTTTCAAAGCATTTTTCTGGATTTTTCGTTAGAAAAAATTACTACATGAAAATGGTTTTTGGAGGTAACTTCTTTTCCTAATTTCAGTTGCGCGGTAAGTATTTTTATGTTAGTCTAGAAAAAAATGTCTATTCGAATTCGGTTAGGATTTCCACATCAGCAGAATCAGCTCGGATATTCTTTGTTGTGGTCATATCGGGTTTGTCGATTTCATCACGGCTCTTTGTGCTCGCATTCATCGGATCGTAGTCATCGAAATCTCGGCTGTATCTGTGTGGAACAAAAATATTCATATTTTAAGTCAATCTCTGCGAAAATAAAAAAGAAACATCGTTCAACCTACCGACTAACAGGTCGACTATTCATATTCAGATTGGCTGATGAATTACGCATTTCCGAACTGTTGGTTGAAGTGGCATCGTCAGATTGCGCTCGCTGCTGTGATTGGTAGATATAATCGGCTGGCAAATAGGCGGGCAGATCGTTGTCATCATCGGCATCCATTGGGTCATAGAATGTATCGATATCACTTTCTTCTTGGTGCTGCTGCACCATCTCAAGCCACTGTGAATTGTAATTACGGAATTTCTCCAGCTTAATGCGAGTTGCCCATTCTGAGTTTGTGGCGGCAATCACATCCAAACAGTAATCGCACACTTTGCGAATCTCCGGATTGGTATCGTGCATCAGATCAATCAAATAGGCAGGCGATTGAGTCTCTTTAATCATGTAATCTCGTGTGCTTTCATTGCGAAGAATTTGCTGAAAGACGAAAATAATCTGAAGTACCATTTCGTCGTCCTCTTGTTTCGCCTTCAAGAGTTCGATCAAAGCCAAAACGATATCAGATCGGCACAGTAACATCGCGCATAATTCATCACAAGCACAAGTGCCCAAAAATACTACGGTGTCCATAACAAGGTCGTCGGTTTTATTGTTGGGCACGAGCACTTTTTTAATCCAAGGAATGAGCTCAAAATTCTGAAGTTGATTTAGGAAAAAAATTTGATAAGCATACTTAAAAACAAAATCCTTAAAGGTGTGCCAATTGCACACTATGCCATATGTACGCTCAAAGCGAGACTTAATGGTATACATTGACAATTACCGAAATTATAGCTGAATAATCCAAATCAGGCAATGATAAATTGCCCAAAATTCCCAAGCACTCGATCGTAAACTTCTGCTCATTGCATATTGTCAGCATTTGGGCTAAATCACCCACGAAATCCTGTTGAAATTAAAACATTGATTAGAATTTTCTTTTTGAACAAAAAACAATAAAATATTTTCTCAAACTAAAAACGGAGTTTAGTGATGAAGGAACAACCTTATTATCACTATATTTTTTTTCAAATTAAAACTCACCACAAAATGACTGCGAAGGCTTTCATGCTGTGAGATGTTTCGCACCAGTTTCATCAGAAGTGAGTCTTGATACTTGAATGCGCGCGACATCACTGTGTGCAAGCGGTTGTTTTCAACCATGAGTGTGGCGTTTCGTTTATTCAATGCCAAATTAATGCACAGAGCAATGAGATCCATGTCAACTTTTGGGCTTAAATTCAACAGTAGCATATCGATGGCCAAGGGCACAGCCTCCGTGTATGTAAACATCGATTTAACTTTATCATCCATGCTCATGTGGTACAAAATTTTCGTGACAATTTCATGATGTTTTTCGTCGCTCAAAAACGTTACCATTTTTGGCAACAGGCCAATTCGAATCATTTGCGATCGTAGCGAGGCATCAAAGGAAAGGTTGAAAATGAGCCGAAGTGTGACTTGTAGCAACTCTGTGTCGGAACTTTGTAGCAGCCTTGGAAATTTACTGACGATATCCAATCGATTCATCTCGTCTTTATTGTCACGAATGATCGACAGTTTCTTCAGGAATGTTACGACCAACACCAGCAACTCAACACTTTGTCGATCTAAAGTTTTGACCAACATTCGAATTATACTTTTTCTGCACATTTTCTCCTCGTACGATGTATTCTCAGCGATATTCAAAAGCAAGTAGAATGCTACACGTATCAATTGTTCCTGTTTCTTTGCAAAGACACGCAACTGTTTGTTGCGCCGATCAAATTCTTCTTTGTTTCGCTTTGGGTCATTGCGGGCATTGTCATCTATAGGCGGAGTATCACTTGTTGGACTCATCATTGACGACGATAGACGATCATGGTAACTATTATTCAGCGTATGACTTCGCAGCAATGAAGAAGTCATACTCATCGTTTGATTCGACCAATTTCCCGATTTTGGCCGCTGTTTCAACTCGGGAATTCGTCTTCGAGGCGGTTCCATCTGGAAGGATGGCATGAGAATTACGATTAGCAATTAATAAAATAAAATTTCAATCTTTGTTCCATAGACGATTTTTTTAAAATCTAAAAGTACTAAATTTGTTGAAAAATTTATGGATTTTCAAGTTCATTTACCTCTTTTGGCTTTTCTTCATTCATGAGAGTATCCAAATCATCAAAACTCTTGCTTTGGTCTTTGTCTGCTGCATTCAAATTATCAAACGATTTCTTAAAATTCTCCAAATCCGATTGCATCGTGTCATATCGTTTCAATTCACTGTCAACCACGTCCATACACAATGACCCAATCTGGAAATGCACATCAATTATTTTATTCCGATTAAAAAATTTGTCTGAGTTAATTTGGCTATGATTCAATTTGTCATAAAATGTATTATTGAGTCATTTAAGTCGAAAAATGGCCCATTCATCTAGTTAAATGCACAATAATTTGTTTACAAAGCAGAAAAACTGAAATGTCGAAGAACTATTACTTACTTTGTATTGCGTGATGACGTTGTGAAATTGAGAATAAGTGGAAAAACAGAAGAAGGTGAAAATGATGTTTGTGGACAAGTCTAAGCTTTTTCGCCAATCCTCACGTAAAACTCGAGACAATGCGCTCAAAACTGCCTCTAAAATTTCAATTAAAAACCGTGGTTAATGATGAAGAACGTAATTACGGAAAATTTGATTTGAAAAAAGCTGGGAGTGTCTATTGCGCACCATTTTTCTGAAGTTCCTCAAGGACATCCGGATGGCGTGCGAGTTGCAAAATAAACCCTGAGCCTCGAATGCGTTCGGGCAAGTCTTCGTACAGTAAATCAACATATTCGTCAATCTTTCGAATGGATGCTTTCTCTGGTTCAGCGGACGAGGCGTCTTTTATCGAGTGAGCTGAGCCGTACGCCGATTTAAGGCGTGACTGCTTTAATGAACCAGCACTTCTGCTCATAGCGTCGAAACCGTCTGCAACAACAACAACAACAGCGGGTAAGAAAAAAAATCGATAGAAAACTCAATTATGGCCATTGGGCAAATGGGCATATATTATCTCTCATTGGAATTGGTCAATTTACCGCTTTCGCTACGTTTTTGTAAATAGTAAATGATTTGTTGAACTTCAGCTAATTGCGATTTATGGATGATGTCACATTTTTCCACGACTTCTTTGGCAAGAGCAGTTGGATCGACACGCGAGATTTGTGCTGGCAACCGTAAAATGCGTTGACAATTCTATACAGTCACCAATAGAACAGAAAATAGATACACACACATGGATTATTTATTGACTATTTTTGGTTGGAATGTCGACAATTTTTTTTTTGTCTTTTTCACAAACGGCAAAACGAATGAATTATTTGTTGTGGCTTGCTTAAGTTTTTCATGTGAAATGAGTCACTTGGGCGCAGAGAGCTGTGCGTTATAGTAGAGAGCAGTATCTAGACTGTGTAGCAAAGAAAAATCGATAAAAACACTTGCACTCGACTTGCCAAATGTCACAAACTGCTGTTGCTGCTGCTACACTACGAACTATGTTCGCACACAACACCAATACATCGAACACCGCACCAATGTACGCGCACTGTTAATATTGTATGACCACTGCAAATCAACGCACAACTCATTGCGAGATAGATAGAGAGCAAAAACAACAGTTAACACCAATGAAAACAAACAACACTGAAAATCTATGTCTTACGTCAATGCGAAAAGTAAATAAAAAAAGAAAAAGAAAAAACTGCACCTTTGATTTTTCTAACATCGCATCACCAGGCTCATTGAACACAGTCGCTTCCAGCGTATAGTTGATGATTAGGGCATTTTCGGTGGGATGTGGTTCAATGCTGCCTCCTTTCAAACGTCTGCAAATATCAACAAAACCATTTTTTAAAATCATTTTGAAGAAATATGCCATCAATTGAATTCGATTAACATCCAGATACTACACTAGGTGTTTTTTTTGTTTACTCGCACTTACTTTTTGATATATTTTGCATCTTCTGACTGCATTGCAACAGACCGTGTCGATTTTTGAAGACAATTTTCACGTTGTTTATCGGTTGCGACGCAATCACTGCTATTTGTTGGCTTTTGTTCGGCACTCGGATTTATCGACAACGTTTGAACGATATAACAAAGGTAATGGATTACAAATAAAAACAAAGTGATGCCCGCAACGAAGTTAAATAGCTCCGAAAACATACACGACCGCTTCGATCGATTCCGATACTCAATGATTTATTTATAAACTTATTGATAAATAAGAAAAAATTTGACCGCTTCTTCCAGCACGCAAAGAAACGAAGGAGTAGAAAATAAAATGGAAATGAAAATAAAAGTGAAGGTATTGGATATATACAATTGGAATGCTACAACGAAAACTTTTCGAACACACAAACACACAACTACACCATTTTCAATGGATTCTTTTTTTTTTTTTGTTCGCTTGTTGCCGAAAAAATTTTATTTCACTATTTCTCACACAGTTGTGTGTAGTTGATTCTTTTTGGCTTTTTAAAGTATGTTCATATATGACCCAATTATATATTTTGTATGTCGTTGACATTGGATGACATGAGCTGAACGCAAATTCAATGTCACTTTTATTAAATGCTAAACAACCACTCTTATTCTCTGTCTGAAACATCACCGTCAAAAACGAGTGCGTATGGATGCGGTATCGTTTTAAGTGTTGCCATATTCCAACCAAAGTTGAATCACTTCAGAAGATAAAGCAATATTAGTTGTTGAATGGAAACTTTCAATGAAATACCTTATTTCTATGTTATCAGATTTTCTAATTTAGTATATTGATGTCAATATTAAATTGTCTTCAGAACTATTTTGAAAAAGACGAAAAAATTTCATTTATTACAAAACGTTCAACTGACAATGTCTTCCAACATGAATGAATATGGCAACATTGTCTGCAGCGAGATGCGTAATTCATACCAAAGTAAATACGCATGTTTATCGTTGTGATCATTCGTGCAAACACATCACCAAGTCATTTTCGGTATAACAAATGGTACACACATACATAATTGAATATTTGAAATAATCTTCCGCCAATTTTGTGTAAAAAAATTCGGCTACCAAAGTTAAGAAAGTGGTTGGAAGACCATTGTTTGTAAACAAAATCAGCTGTTCTTGATTCTTGTTTCATACCACGATCAAATCATCGTTCACAGTACCTTGTCTTCGTACAAATTTTATAACGCAAAAAAATCAAGTTTTTTCACCAAGCAGATAGCTATACATTCAAATAAAATTTGGTCTTTTGAATCATTGTAGTCATATGTGCCAAATTTTACACACACCGAATATTGTTATCGTTTTCTGTGATACGTTTATTTGAAGTGCAAGTGTGATAACCTGTAAGCACATTCGGACCAGTGTGAATCAAACAGGGGAAGTTAAAGTCCGCAATCTCACGGTTGATTAAAAATCGAAGTTTCTACCAGATAAAGAGGAATTTGGCTTTTTGATTGCGATACGCACTGGTGGGTGTTCAGATTAAGGATAGTGTTTAGATAACAATTTGAGGTTTGATTCAATGAAATATTTCCATGTTTAATCAGAAAACAAAGTTATGAAAAAAACCATAAAAAAGTGCATTACGCTGGCCTTTCCTCAATTAGTGCTGGCGATTGGTACCATCGCTTAATTTAATACATTGTTACGGAACTAGCACTAATTGAAAAATCGATTTTTCAAACAATTTTGCAATTGGTGCTCGGCTCCCAGTGAATGTTTTTTTGAATCTGTAAAAGACAGTCACCAGCACTAATTGAGTAATAAATAATGGTGGTACCGGTCACAGCCCAGCATCAAATCTGGAGCTAGCGTAACGCACATATCTAAAAAAAGAAATAAAAAGAGACACAGAACAAAATTGGGAGATATAACTACATAAAGTGTTTTCCCGTGAAGATTTTATTTTTAAAAAAATGAATTGTGTTTGAATCAATTTTTAAAATAATGTGAAAGAATGAATTCATGTTGTACCGAAGTGAATGAATTTTTTCCTACTATTTTTCTTGAAATACGAAAAAATGTAAAGTGTTATAAGTACATAGTCACATCACTAGAATGAAATCGAAATTGCTTTTTTATTTAGATTATCAGTATTAACCCATTAACGCCCATCGTCCTATTTTTAAGACGCAAAAATTGCCGATTTTTCTATGACTTATTTTAGATTGTCTTCTATCCCGATCAAACGGCTTGGAATTTTCACATGCCGTTTTGCATGTGTGTTAGGAAGGTTTGAAGAATGTTTTCCCGATTTTCAAGGTTTTCCAATTAGCAGTTTTCCGGGAAATGCTGGAATTTTGAGCCGGAAAATTGTGAAAATTCAAAACGTGTCGAAAAAATCTGAAACTTTGAGAAGATCATATTTGAACTCTCAGAAGTATCCCGTCAAAATTTCATCAAAAAATTTGGCTTCGGCGTTAATGGGTCAAAAACCAATATTATCACAAAGAATTCGAAGCAAAAATAAGTAATGATCGCCAATGTAATTGGCTGATAGTGAGATTCTCACTGTGAGAATCATGATAGGAATTCGAAATTTATTTTAAGAAAATACTTGACTGTACTGCCTTTGTGTCGGAGATGTTATCTCGGACGGCCCGTTAAAAAAATAGCTTGTTGATTCGCATTTAATCAGTAGCCTGCAAGTATTGTTGCCTCTAAAAATGATTACTTAATCATTTATTGCCACTTTTATCATATATATTGCTGCCTCAATAGCTCCAACGATGTAATTTTGTTCTTATATTTTCAGTGCCATCAAACCAGTTCGATTAAACAAATGCAACGGATCGGAAAACAGGAATCAAATTAAAATGACAAAGGAAACTGCGGAAAAGTATGTGATTTTCGATACAGACATGGGATGTGACGATGCCTGGGCATTGCAGATGATGCTCAAAGCGGAAAAACACCTGAAAAATTTGAAATTACTTGCGATTACAATAGTCAATGGAAATACAACCGTTGAGAACGCAATAAAAAATACGTATCGCATTTTGGATGGTCTCGATCGAACGGATGTAAGTAGGATTTATTTTTTAAATTAGTTTCACACAGTAATGAAAAAACAATTTTTCTGTCCTGATTTCAGGATTAAAGGAAAGCCATTTTTTCAATTTTTCTGTTCATTTAGATTCCAATGTACAAAGGAGCCACCGAAGCTATAATACCCGGTACGCTCAGAGTGGGTTCTTTTCACGGTGCCAATGGATTTAGTGATGTTGAATTTTGGCATCCGAACGTTTATCCAAACGATATAAATACGTTGGTGCAACGACAGCATGCGGTCGAGATCATTCGAGATCTAGTTTTGGAGGTAAGGTTTCTATCAATTTCATCAAGCAAACAAAGATATTATTATTTTTTTTTTTTCATTTTCAAGCATCCACATAAAATATCACTCATTTGCCTGGGGCCACTGACCAACATTGCACTGGCCATTAAAACATACCCACAGATCCGGGACAAAATTGGCGATGTATACATTATGGGTGGGAATTTCAAAGGTTAGAACACAACGACAAGTAACAAATTGACTTTACTTCAAATACAAATGATAAATCGGTCAACTGATTTCCAATTTTCAGGCATTGGAAATGAAACGTCATGTGCTGAATTCAATTTTTACATGGATCCTGAAGCAGCTCATATTGTTTTCGACCTACTCAATTGTCCCATCATTATATTACCATGGGAGTGCTGTCTTCCACCCAGCATCGATATCTCCTGGGTAAGGACACATTTTGAACTAAAAGAAAATCGAACGAAATTTGACAAAGCTGACAGATAGATATAAGCTAATCATATCAAAAAAAGTAACCGAATTGCTCGATTCTTCCCTAGGAATGGAGGATTAAAACGTTTGCCGATGTCGACTGCAAAAACATACAACTATTGAACGAAATCGATAGGATTGCCTACCGAAATTGCAGTTCATTTTTGCCATGCGATGCATTTTTGACAGCAGTGTTTGTATTCCCAGAGAAGTGTATACAAACCAAAAGCCAACATCACGCTACAATCGAATTGCAAGGATTCCATACTCGCGGACAAATGGTTTTAGATCATAAACAAAGGAATAAACACAATGTTACCATTATTGAAACAGTTTACGAAGAGGAGGTGAAGAAAGCTTTGTATTTTACCGCAACTTCTTAGTAGCCATGAATTGTTGACCATTAGTAATTACAACTATTAACCATGAATTAAAACTGACTGAAATTTTGTGCTTTATTGGACGAACATATATTTTTTTTGTATTGACTACAAATTAAAATGTTTATACGATATTTACGAAAATAAAATATGAAATGACATTAAGAATTCATTTTTTCTTTCCAGCTTTTGGTTTTTTGCTTTTTTTCTTCGGTCGATATGGGCCTAGCTGCTTTCTCACCATCGTTCCACGCCACCAGGCTTGGATTCGAATGGCGGATGCCCGTTGTCCAGCTTCAATTTTCCTGATTTCTTCCAGCTGCTTCTGTTCAATGTAATATTCTTCGATGAACTTTTCTCTGGTCTCATACCAACTGCGAATCAGTTCGTATTTCGATTTTACATCTTTGATACTTTCTTCGGTGTGTTTGATTTGCTCATCCAATTGTATTCGTTCTGCTTCGTAGCGACGGTGCCAGGATTTGATGGAGTTTTCCAATTTGGCGCCCTTTGCTCGATAAAATGCCATGATTTCGTTGATGGCAATCAACTCATTTTCAGTCTTTTCTTCATAATCATCTCGAGTTTGGTACAACGTTTTGAGTTCGTGATTAAAAACCGCATCAACTTGTTCCTGACGTGCATTCTCCCATTTCTTCACCATATTCGTTTCCAATCGATTGGTTTTCTCTCTGTTTTCACACTCCGTTTTCAAATTGAACAGATGTTCATCCATTTTTATGACTGATACCTCATTTTTCTGGCGATTTATCTTGAGCTCTTTCTGTAATTCTTCCATTTTTTCGATATTTTCACAATAGGTTTTCAACAGATTGAATTCATCGTACGCTTCACTATTTTCGTAGAAAATAAACTCGGCAAAATTTCGAAATCTGCCGAACTCTTGTAAATCCTTACAGCAAATTTCCATGGCACACCGAATTGCTTCGATGTCGGTTTCGAGTTTACTTATTGACATTGTTTTGAAACACTCACGAAGTGGTTCCAGAGTCTCCTCGTTGTATAGTTTATCTAGGATGGGCGCATTAAAACGGACATGCATCGGAGGCTTAGCAGCCGGGAGCTCAACCACACTGTTTCTCCCCTCAAAACCACGATTCACAACGATTATCTTGGTAATGGCTTCTTTAAGCACGGCCATCAATGCCGATTTTTCAAACGACGACAATGACAATGGCTCCTTCAATCTTTTCCGATCGTCTGCATTTAACTTGTTTTGAGCTTTCATCAAATACTCCATATAAGACTTATAAAATGTAATTTGCTCGTTTCGTTTATTCCAATCCATTTTTAGGGATTTTGAAATAGGTAAAGCAATTGCAACTGAACTGTAACACTGATTAGTTTATTGTTGATTCATCATTGTTTATCATTACATAACGTAAGCATATATTGGTTGCTGGGTAACGATTTGAGATTGTTATTTGCTTTCGCCGTCATCGAAACGCAATAAACGCGCCCGTCGCTAGATTTTCATCTAATAAATATATCCCATAAATATAATATCATGCATTCGATTAACGATAAGCAATGTTAGTTTATTTGTGCCGTTGCAATGAAGCTTATATCGACCGGCTTGTTTGTGACGCTAACGACAAATCTACTTACACATAGATTCCCACTCTCTGTCGAACAGAGTAGCTTATACTGTGAAAAAGTAAAATAATAAGCGATAGTAATTATCCCTGGTTTGGTGTGGTGATCACACAATATACACATGTGATAACAGAAAACTTGTTGGTTACTGTCTTGCGCACAGTCACTTTGAACCTGTATGTATTGGAGCCAACATCTGTATTAACATGAACGTTTGATTATCTTGATAATATCACTACTGCTGCACATTTCTGCTCAGTCATAATAGAAATAGCAATAATGCAATACATCGCACTGTTTAATATTTACTGTCTAATTTGCAATAGTAATGGTAGTTTTGATAGTTCAAAATCAGTAATGCAATTGTATTTGTCAAATTCCAAATATTGGTGTGCGTGTACAGCTTTACGTGCGTGAATCTACATACATACATTGTATGTTGATTTAGTTGATGTACGTGTTTTGTTGCAACTTGCTTGATAATCCATGCATATGAATTTCGTAATGTTGATACGGAAATATTGCACTCATAGAAAAGTAGCCGTCGGAGTGCACGTTCTGTTAACGTTACGTTAAGGCGTACACATACAACTTCGCTAACGTAAAAGGAGTACAGCAATATATCGTGTGCTGTGATACAATATATCGCTCCTTTTACGTTGTTGTATGTGTAAGCCTTAACGTAACGTGAACAGAACGTGCACTCCGACGGCTACTTTTCCATGAGCACACAGAAAAATAGTTTTGTAAAATAAAAATTCATTGGTATATGCTGTCCCAATGAGCCAAAGTGAAAGAAAATATGTACTAGATCGTCACACTGATTATGCATAGATTTGAAAGATTGCATATAGGTAGATTATGTAAAAATAGTGTGTAATTTACGTGTATAAGGTGTGCGTAAATTGTCTTTGTTTAAATAGAGGAGAATTTCAAATTATGTGTCGAAATTGTGCTTATATTTGAACATATGTCCAAACTGTGTGCAATATTTGTGCATACTGCGTGCATGCTAGATTATGCACATTTTATGTCCAAATTTTAGTTAAATTTTACACAATTTAACAAAAAGCTAACTATATATTTTTTTATTTGTTTTTAAACGTGTAAAAATTAGGCATAATTTGTATACCATGTATAGGCACATTTAAGCACGTAAATGGTTCATTCACGTGAATTTGATGTAATGTTGACAATTTTTTTTAATGTTTTCACATATCATATTATATTGGAAATCTACAGCGGACATAATTTTTTACAGGTACACATATTCTAGTAAATATTGGCTCATTGATGAGTTTTATTTAGAAATTAACATGGAAAATATTTTCATTGAATTCACATTGAATCAAATCTGAACGTATGAACAGAACCACTGACTGATTAAAATCGCAAACAATCTCCTTTGTGTGTTTTCCCATTCGCAATACCAATATAAATTAAAAATAAACAAAACGATACACTTCTATACATGCATATTAGGGTGGATCGATTTTTAAAATCTCAACAAAAAAAAACCCTGGGTGCGCGTTCGATTTGGCACCTCAAAAGAAGAAACTTTTGTTCTGGGACATATGCCGAAAAGTCTATTCCCACAATCCCCACTCAATTTTTATCTGGATCATTTTTTGATGAT